ACCCCCTTTTTAAAACCTAAAGGGGGAATCCCACTTGAAAGCATTGGCATGGACAGAAACCTTCCAGTTCAGACTCCTCTATGTTTTAAAAGAGTAAATAACGTCCCCCCCCCCCCCCGGACAAATCATTAGTGAGACCTCATCAGGGAAATATGCAGTTTTCATTTTTGGGCACCAATTCACAAGAGAACAATTGGGGAACTGGAGAAAGTACAGAGAAGGGGCAACCAACTGATAAGAGCATGGAGAGTAGATCAGCTATGAGGAAAGATTAGAGGACTGAATGTATTCCTCTACTGATGAGAGGAGAGATAAGGGGGGATAATGAGCTCCATGTATAATACATAAGGGGGGATATGATCTTCCATGTAAATACATAAGGGGGGGATATGATCTCCATGTATAATTACATAAGAGGGGATATGATCTCCATGTATTAAATACATAAGGGGGGATATGAATCTCCATGTATAAATACATAAGGGGGGATTATGATCTCCATGTATAATGCATAAGGGGGGATATGATCTCCATGTGATAATACATAAGGGGGGATATGATCACCATGTATAATACATAAGGGGGATATGATCACCATGTATAATACATAAGGGGGATATGATCGCCATGTATAATAAATAGGAGGGGATATGATCTCCATGTATAAATACATAAGGGGGGATATGATCTCCATGGTATAATACATCAGGGGATATGAATCTCCATGTATAATACATAAGGGGGGATATGATCTCCATGTATTTAATACATAAGGGCGATATGATCTCCGTGTATAATACATAAGGGGGGATTATGATCTCCATGTATAATACATAAGGGGGGATATGATTCTCCATGTATAATACATAAGGGTGGGATATGATCTCCGTGTATAATACATAAGGGGGGATATGATCACCATGCAGGGGCGGACTGACCAATTTTTTTTTTTATTTTTTGAAACTCGGGCACTGGCTATGAGAGGCCCGGGGTCAGTAGGGGGCCCCATGATATGCCCTTGGTACCTTTTTTCGTAGGCTTTTTTGAGTTTGGGCAAGGACACAGGTCCTCATGATCCCCCTAATGCCCGGGGGCCCCATGAGTTGTCAGGTCTGCCCCTGTCACCATGTATAAAACATAAGGGGGGATATGATCTCCAGTGTATAATACAAAAGGGGGATATGATCTCCATGTATAATACATAAGGGGGATATGATCTCCATGTATAATACATAAGGGGGGATATGATCTCCATGATAATACATAAGGGGAGATATGATCACCATGTATAATATATAAGGGGGATATGATCTCCAATGTATAATACATAAGGGGGGATATGATCACCATGTATAATACATAAGGGGGGATATGATCTCCATGTATAATACATAAGGGGGATATGATCTCCATGTATAATACATAAGGGGGGATATGATCTCCATGTATAATACATAAGGGGGGGATATGATCTCCATGTATAATACATAAGGGGATATGATCACCATGTATAATACATAAGGGGGGATATGATCACCATGTATAATACATAAGGGGGGATTTGATCTACATGTATAATACATAAGGGGGGATATGATCTCCAAGTATAATACATAAGAGGGATATGATCTCCATGTATAATACATAAGGGGGGATATGATCACCATGTATAATACATAAGAGGGGGATATGATCTCCATGTATAATACATAAGGGGGGATATGATCTCCATGTATAATACATAAGGTGGGGGGGGATAGGATCTCCATGTATAATTACATAAGGGGGGATATGATCACCATATATAATACATAAGGGGGGATATGGATCTCCATGTATAATACATAAGGGGGGATATGATCTACATGTATAATACATAAGGGGGGATTTGGATCTACATGTATAATACATAAGGGGATATGAATCTCCATGTATATGACTTAAGGGGGGGATATGATCTCCATGTTATAAATACATCAGTGTTCATATAGTGAACTCGGTGTAGTTATTCACCCTGAGGATATCACAGAGGACAAGGGGCACTCTTTACATCTGGAGGAAAAGAGATTTAATCTCCAAACACGAAAGGTTTCTTCACAGTGAGAGCTGTGAAAATGTGGAATAGACTCCCTCAAGAGTAGGCTCTGGCCAGCTCAGTGGATTGCTGTAGGAAAGTTCTGGATTCTTTCTTAGACACACAAAATATAACTGGATACTAACATTTATAGGTAAAGTTGATCCAGGGAATATCCGATTGCCTCTCGGGGGATCAGGAAGGAGTTTTTTTCCCCTGCAGGAGCATATTGGATCATGTTTTGTTGGGTTTTTTGCCTTCCTCTGGATCAACTGTGGGTATAGGATTATAACTTTTTTTAGTTTTTTTTGTGGTCAAACTGGATGGACTTTTGTCTTTTTTCAGCCAGACTAACTATGTAACCTCAAGCTCATCGATAGTGACAACATTACCATGAATTCATTAATATTATATTGTAAAGCGCTGAGCAAACTGTTGGCGCTATATAAATCCTGTAATAATAATAATAATAATAATTGGATTCTCATCAATTTCTGTCCCAGTGACAAATATAAAGGTTGATTTTTTGTTTATTTGTCACCCTAGCCAGGGCAGAACATGCTATGAATGCACACAGTAAGTGGAACAGTGATGTACTATCACTCACCGGATGTAGCCCTCCACACTGCTCTGACCACGGAGCTGGTCCTCCATCAGGTAGGTATTATGGGAGGAGGAGATGAAATAGTTGCACAGCGGTTGTGTCATGTCTTGGTAGAGCGGCGTGTGGCTCACATTAAATATGGACCCCTCCAGAGACAACAAATATATGAGAAAGCCATCAATGCTCAGAGCGTGGAGCTTCTTTGCTACAAAGGAGAAATATATCTGTATTAATGAGCTTGTCTCAGTTAAGTTGAAATAAAGCCAGGCCAGGGGCGGACTGACCATTTAGAAACTCGGGCACTGCCCGAGGGCCCGGGGTCAGTAGGGGGCCCCATGAGATGCCCCTGAGGGTACCTTTTTCATAGGCTTTTTTGAGTTTAGGCAAGGACACAGGGGCCCCATGATCCCCTGTTGCCCGGGGGCCCCATGAGTTGTCAGTCCCACACCTGAGCCAGGCATCATACAGATGCAACTGGTGCATTGCTAATCCTGTAAATCTACCCTCCAATGCTGATTTCCCACAGCTGGACATGTGACCAGACGCCCAGCATTTGTCACCTGATCTCTGCTGAAGGGGTTTAGCTGACTGAGGTTTAGATGCTTGGTGGCTTTGCATAAGCAGGCATTTGGTCATGTGACCAGCTGTTGTCAAACACCCGACCCAAACTATGTCAATAAAGATTAACAAAAGTTTGACTTTTTGACATATTTGGTTCACGGCATGTATGATACTACAGTGCCATCTGAGGTTTGGCGTTTGGAAATGTTTCCCGCAAAGAAACAGATGTAAGGAGATGATGGAAGTAGGAAGGGTGATGTCCATGTGGGAATGGCTACAAAACGTTGTAAATAAAAAAAATAGCAGCACAAAGTGAAAGGGGGTCTTCATCTTGGACAACATGAACTCTACACTACAAGACAGTCGAATCAGCATTGTGCTTTCCTTTGAAGGGTTAATGACTGAAGTCCTGTTCAAGGAGGACATTGTGGACCAGCTATAACAGTAGCTAAGTGACTTTCATTTTACCTATACAGCATACATATACAATTGGCATTTGGTCATGTGACCAGTGGCCCTGAAAACCCAGAGCAGAGTTTTTCGCAGGACAGCTAAGTATTTGCTACAGGTATACACAGCATTGTTTCAGACACTCTTTAGATTTTATTAGTTTCACTCACACTGCGCATGGTTGAACTGAAACGTGTCCGAGTTTGAGAGTCCTCCCTCCGCACTCCCCCGCTGGTTTGCTACTGTGTTACATCAGTATATATATGTATATAGCCAGATTGGGATTTTTTTTCCAGATTGACATAAAATAAATCTGTTGGTTTTCATGTTTTTTTGGGCAACTATGTGGCAAATGAGGTTTAATGTTGATAAATGTAAGGTTATGCACTTGGGGGCTAAGAATATGCATGCATCATACATACTGGGGGGGGGTACAACTGGGGGGAGGGGTCAATGGTGGAGCAGGATCTGGGGGTTCTGGTAAATCACAAGCTTAATAATGGCAGCAATGTCAAGCTGCGGGTTCTAAAGCGAGCAAAATCCTCTCTTGTATTAAAAGAGGTATAGACTCCAGAGAGAGAGATATCATTTCCCCCGGTACAAATCATTAGTAAGACCTCATCTGGAATATGCAGTTCAGTTTTGGCCACTAATTCACAAAAAGAACATTGGGGAACTGGAGAAAGTACAGAGAAGGGCAACCAAACTGATGAGGCATGGAGGAGATCAGCTATGAGGAAAGATTAGAGGAACTGAATTTATTATCTCTCGAGAAGAGGAGATTAAGGGGGGATATGATCTCCATGTATAATACATAAGGGGGGATATGATCACCATGTATAATATATAAGGGGGGATATGATCTCCATGTATAATACATAAGGGGGATATGATCTCTATGTATAATACATAAGGGGGGGATATGATCTCCATGTATAATACATAAGGGGGGATATGATCTCCATGTATAATACATAAGGGGGGATATGATCACCATGTATAATACATAAGGAGGATATGATCTCCATGTATAATACATAAGGGGGGATATGATCTCCATGTATAATACATAAGGGGGATGTGATCACCATGTATAATACATAAGGGGGATATGATCTCCATGTATAATACATAAGGGGGGATATGATCACCATGTATAATACATAAGGGGGATATGATCTCCATGTATAATACATAAGGGGGGATATATCTCCATACATAAGGGGGATGTGATCACCATGTATATAATACATTAAGGGGGTATGATCTCCATGTATAATACATAAGAGGGATATGATCTCTGTGTATAATACATAAGGGGGATATGATCTCCATGTATAATACATAAGGGGGGGGATATGATCTCCATGTATAATACATAAGGGGGATATGATCTCCATGTATAATCATAAGGGGGGATATCTCCATGTATAATACATAAGGGGGATATGATCTCCATGTATAATACATAAGGGGGGATATGATCATCCATGTATAATACATAAGGGGGATATGATCTCCATGTATAATACATAAGGGGGATATGATCTCCATGTATAATACATAAGGGGGGATATGATCTCCATGTATAATACATAAGGGGGGATATGATCACCATAATAATACATAAGGGGGATATTATCTCCATGTATAACACATAAGGGGGATATGATCTCCATGTATAATACATAAGGGAGGATATGATCTGCATGTATAATACATAAGGGGGGGGGGGGGGGGAGATATGATCTCCATGTATAATACACAAGGGGGATATGATCTTTATGTATAATACATAAGGGGGATATGATCTTTATGTATAATACATAAGGGGGATATGATCTCCATGTATAATACATAAGGGGGGATATGATCACCATGTATAATACATAAGGGGGATATGATCTACTCCATGTATAATACATAAGGGAGGATATGATCTGCATGTATAATACACAAGGGGGATATGATCGGCATGTATAATACACAAGGGGGGGATATGATCTCCATGTATAATACATAAGGGGGGATATGATCTCCATGTATAATACATAAGGGGGATATGATCTCCATGTATAACACATAAGGGGGGATATGATCTGCATGTATAATACATAAGGAGGGGGGGGGGATATGATCACCATGTATAATACATAAGGGGGGGGGGGATATGATCACCATGTATAATACATTTAGGGGGGCATGATCTGCATGTATAATACATAAGGGGGGATATATGATCACCATGTATAATACATAAGGGGGGGATATGATCTCCATGTATAATACATAAGGGGATATGATCTCCATGTATAATACATAAGGGGGATATGATCTCCATGTATAATACATAAGGGGGGATATGATCACCATGTATAATACATAAGGGGGGATATGATACCATGTATAATACATAAGGGGGGGGGATATGATCTCCATGTATAATACATAAGGGGGGAAATTATCTTCATGTATAATACATAAGGGGTATATGATCCCCATGTATAATACACAAGGGGGGGATATGATCTTCATGTATAATACATAAGGGGGGATATGATCTCCATGTATAATACATAAGGGGGGATATGATCTCCATGTATAATACATAAGGGGGGATATGATCTCCATGTATAATGCATAAGGGGGGATATGATCTCCATGTATAATACATAAGGGGGGATATGATCACCATGTATAATACATAAGGGGGGGGTATAATACATAAGGGGGGATATGATCGCCATGTATAATACATAAGGGGGGATATGATCTCCATGTATAATACATAAGGGGGGGATATGATCTCCATGTATAATACATAGGGGGGATATGATCACCATGTATAATACATAAGGGGGGATATGATCTCCATGTATAATACATAAGGGGGGATATGATCTCCATGTATAATACATAAGGGGGGATATGATCTCCATGTATAATACATAAGGGGGGATATGATCTCCGTGTATAATACATAAGGGGGGATATGATCTTCATGTATAATACATAAGGGGGATATGATCTCCATGTATAATACATAAGGGGGGATATGAGATCTCTATGTATAATACATAAGGGGGATATGATCTCCATGTATAATACATAAGGGGTATATGATCTCCATGTATAATACATAAGGGGGGGGATATGATCTCCATGTATAATACATAAGGGGGGATATGATCACCATGTATAATACATAAGGGGGGATATGATCTCCATGTATAATACATAAGGGGGATATGATCACCATGTATAATACATAAGGGGGATATGATCTCCATGTATAATACATAAGGGGGGATATGATCTCCATGTATAATACATAAGGGGGGGGATATGATCTCCATGTATAAATACATAAGGGGGATATGATCACCATGTATAATACATAAGGGGGGATATGATCACCATGTATAATACATAAGGGGGGATATGATCTCCATGTATAATACATAAGGGGGATATGATCTCCATGTATAATACATAAGGGGGATATGATCATCCATGTATAATACATAAGGGGGATATGATCTCCATGTATAATACATAAGGGGGGATATGATGTCCATGTATAATACATAAGGGGATATGATCTCCATGTATAAATACATGAACTCGGTGTAGAGCTATTCGGTGTAATAAAGTGAACTCGGTGTAGAGTCATTCACCCTGAGGTCATCACAGAGGACAAGGGAGCACTCTTTACGTTTAAAAATGTCCTGGATTGTTTCTTGGATATACAGAATATAACTGGATACTAACATTTATAGGTAAAGTTGATCCAGGGAATATCCGATTAGGAAGGAATTTTTTTCCCTGCAGGAGTAAATTGGATCATGCTTTGCTGGGAGTTTTTTTTGCCTTCCTCTGGATCAACTCTTGGTATAGCATTATAACTTTTTTTTTAATGAATGAACTGGGTGGACTTTTGTCTTTTTTCAGCCAGACTAACTATGTAGCTATGTACAGTAACTATGAGTAAACAACATCAATTTTTCCTGTGGGAACAGCTCTCAAACAATTGCCATTGGAACAATGTTTGCACATCTTCTGATACAATGGGGAAATTAATACTATTGCCATATATTAGGTAATGTAGAAGTTGGGCAAGGCAGTGTACGCATTTTAAGCTATTACTTTTGTTTTAGAGAAGCTTTAGTCAAACACCGGACCCAAACTATGCCAATAAATAAATCTTTAACTCATGGCATTGTTTGACACTACAGTGCCATCTGGGGTTTGGATTTGGGAAATGATTCCCTCAAAC